CATTCTTGATTGAACATTCATGTATCGTTTGGACTTGATTGCTCAATTACTTACATTTGCATTTACAGTTACATGCTTCAAAAAAAAAAAAAAAAAAAAAAAAACAAACAAACATTTTAATTTGAAAAAAGTAACAGAAAACTAAAGCATTGATGTACAGCTACCGAAGAAGACCTCATCATCAACTCAACTCACATAACTCACTCTCTCCTTTTCTACATTTCTCTCTCTCTCTCTCTCTCTCTCTCTCACTCTATACCACTGTCTGTTTGTCGGTCTGTGTTCCATTTGCAAGTTTAGGAGCAGAACTTTGGTCTTGATTGCATAAAAGTAGCCTTCAGAGTGTAGAGCTGCAAAATAATCGATCCTTTTCGATTTTTTCAAAAATAAAATCCATTAATCATTAAGTGAACAAAGGCAACACTTTCAAGTAATAATGTGCATTTAACCTTATACGCTTAATCGATTCTTCAAAAACAAATCGATATTTGGTAAATACATCAGTTACATCGATTCAGAATCGATTTTTTGCCGCTCTACTTCAGCGAATATTAGTGCTAGGAGTGCCGCTGGCTTTTGACATATTATCGATAACTTAAACTAAAAAGAAGCTGACGCCCTATCCCCAATGACAGACACTTTCAATTTCAATACAAATCGTCCTCTTTCGTATTCCATTCAATGCCAGAATTTGAAATTAGACTGTTGTCTTAGACTTGGGCTTCCCCTAATTGGTGTTACAACTAAAACAGCCACGAACTTGGTCATGAATTTGATTCGCTTAGTAGATAACATAGGTCAGACTACCTTAAAGGCCTCTGAACATTCGAAACTATCTGTCTTAGACTTTAAGATAAGCTTTCGCAACTCCATATAAAATGCATACAAATATCTAAAGATTTAATAGGAGCCTATTTGTTTACTGGACCTATCTAGAATGGAAAGTAACTTTAAGGACCACTTTACTAAAGATATGTGCCTATAGCCAAATAATGAAAAGCATTTACAATTAGCTTGCCCGATTTTCTCCTTACAACCGAAAGGCTATTGTCCTTAAGTCCAGAACAGATCTTTAAACACGATTTACAAAAGACTGCTTACAAGCTGTTTCCCCAGTCCAAAGTTATTAGGTAGAAGAAAGAACAGGAAGTTAAGGTATTGCTTAATTCTTTTGTTCTAGCGTATTTTCGTTGACTGACTAATTGTTGGCCTTGTTTCTTTTTCTCGTTTTATTTCGATCTGGCAATGCCGCCGACTATGGTTAGGTTGAACTGATTTCATTTCTTCATCAAGAATTGCTTTAGTAACTCTTTTCTTTTGCTATTTCTCCAATGTCTATGTCTATGTGTATGTGTCGTGCTCTTTTTCATTGCTGTGCGTCTGTTTTACTTTTGACTTCTGTTTCTTGCCATAATATATATTTCGATGTTGTTCAAGAACGTTGTGTATTTTGATTTTTGTTGTTTTTCTTAAGCTCTTTTTACATCTATCTTTCTATCTCTCTCTCTATCTCTCTGTCTCTCTCTCTCTATATCTTACTTACTCGCTCTGACTGTTTTTATAAATAACATACTCGTATGTATACATATAATATGCCTCTGTTCTATATCATTTATCGTTGTTGTACTCTAAAGCTATTTACAAACTAAGTTAAAAACCCCGAGAAAAAATACAAGTAATAATATTGTATTAGATTGCAAAATTAATTTCAATTTGTGTTCTAAAATATCCTTTAACTAAATGTTGTAATTGTCATTTGGCATATTAAGTATGTATATGTATAAGTCTGCAGCTCTTCTGTCTTTTTCTCTTTAGGTATATTTATATATGCAATCTATATATATGCGTACGTATAAGCTAATGTATATGTATACTTGACTATATAAACATCATTTTGTGTAATGTGTTTAAGCCTTGATGATCCCAGGAACTCGTTGGTCCCATTTTTATACAAAATCCCCATGGTATTAGTGACTGTACTGTTAAGATGTTGCAATGTCGTTGCCAGCATTAAACAAACGTTTGTTAGGTTATTGCCATCTGCATAAAAGATTATTTTTGGCATTGCCAGCGACACTGAAAGCCTTATGGCACTGCCAGCTTTATTTATTAAAAGTGTGGCAACCTTTATTGTTGACAGTAGCGTGACAGGTGTTGTAATGTTGATGGCATTGCCATCTTTAAGAAAATCCCAATATAGTGGACATTGTTCAACTTACAGCTTCGCTATAAAAAGCTACTCTTCAACATTGACTATATATTGTCAGCATTATTTCGTATGTGTTGGCACTGCTAGCTGCGTATATATCATGTTGCTGGCAAACAGGTCTTCCAATCAAAATCCAGTCAATTATAGTTTTGTATTCCAATCCAAATCCATACTATGGCCCTTGTCGTTGCCTTATTCGCTCCTTCAGATAGCCCCCTTAGATGTTGTGTCTAAGCTGAGATATTTCCAGTCCAATATATGCATAAATATGTTGTTTTTTTTTTTTAATCGTTCGAACGTTGTTTCTTTGCTTTCCTTTTGTTTGTTTTTCGTTGTAAACAAAAGTTAAATAATTAACGAATTAATTAATTCTTTTTATGTTAATTTTGATAATATTATCAAGAAGTTGATCTACGTTTTTTGAACATGGCTATGCTAAATGAAACTTCATATATAACTTAACTTTTTGTTAACAAAACTGTTTTGCCTTTAAATATGCAGTTAATCGAAGCAATTGCGAATCAATTAATTTTAAAAGAATAATATTGAGAGAAGTTTTGCTATACGATCGATCCATCATTCAATAGAACAATACAACAATACAATTTGAGTTTTGTTGAGTCTCCTATGCGAAAAAAGAGTGCGGCAAAAGTGGAAAAACTTCTTGAAAATAGTGAAGAGCTCTCATCTATTTTTCCAAAAAATTAATTTGTTTATTTTTTGATTTTTGATTTCAACCCAAAATTTATCAATTTTTTATCAAAATTTATCAACAAACAAAAAAAAAAACAGACACAATTTGGCCCCATTTGACAAAACTAGAAGATGCCGAGTTTTTTTTTGTTTTGCAAAAAAAAATACCAAGCATTTTTGTAGCAGCAGCAAATTGTTGTTAATATTTTTCAAAATTTCTTCTGTTTAAGCATTTTTTTTCAATTTGATTTATAATTTTTATGTATTTTTATTTAAACCAAAATTGTTGAAAACTGTGCGCCTAATAGACGCGCACTCCAAATTGGCAAAACCACTGAATTTTTCGGAATTAAGAAACAAAAAAAAAATGTATTATTTTTTGTTAATTTTTTTTATTTCGATTTGTTAAAAGAAAATTAGCGAAGAAGTATGCAAAATTTGTGGTGCAGCTCTCTTTTTTCATGCATTAAAAAAACAAAAAAAAAAAGATATTGATTTTTTCTTGTCGATTTTTTGCCAAACCACGTTTTGTTTATGATTTGGAAAACATTTCAAGTAAACTAACTATCCAGTAAACAAATTTCGTCCAAAACTTGCGCGTCAAACATCTATTTGGAAGTGCACGAAAAGCAAAACGTGAAGTCTAAGTTTACAAATTTGTATCAATAAGTTAATACCAAAACAAAAAACTAAACAAATACAAGAATTTATATATAGTATATATTTAAAGCAAACTCACTAAACACTGAACGAATGAATGTAAATGAAAGTTTAAAAAACAACAAAACCCTAAAGAACAAAACAAAAAAACGATGATAAAATGCTAAACAAAAAACAAAAACCTTAACGTACGATTATGTGACGTTTTTCGAACGACGCCCAAACAAAAATCGAAATTCAACTTCTTGAAAAACAATATAAAAATACTAAGTATATGCGAGTATACAAAAAAACCTATATCCATAGAAAATTTGTCAAAAAATCTAGCTTTTGAACTCCATAAGAAATAAGTCAAACAAAAACAAAAAAAAACAAAACAAAACAAAAAACGAAAAAAAAACAAAACGAAAAAAATGAAATAAAAAACACAACGAAAGTCATGCTGAAACCCCCTCTTGTTTTCTGGCATCAGTTGAAGTGGTAGCTGGCAGCTAGCTATATGCCTATGATCATGCATACATATCTATATATATATATATATACATATATTTATGTAACAGACGCGATTTTTGCTGCGGCTTTATCAGAAAATGTTTTCTGTACTTTGTTCCTTTCAAAAAATGTATATATATATATATATATATATATAAAGAGACATGAATATATATATATACATGTATAAGCATTGTAATGTTTTTGTTTCTCTTTTCACCTACTTATATGCAAGTAAACAAGTTGATATATTTCTATATAATATGTAACTTCAGTTGAAATGTTGGCGCAGCGGCAGCGGCAGAGGAAGAGTTTGAAAGACAGCATTTATATTTTTTATATTCTACATTTTCAACGCTATAAGAAACGAACTTTCCTTTTTTTGTTTGGTTAACCCAACCCATATATATATGTATTTATATATAACGCAGATATATATATATATATATATGATTTGGTAATTATTATTATTCCTCTTACACACTCTTATTTTCGTTGTCTTAGTTTTCACTCTCCACGTAAATGTTGCCTAAACCAAAAAAAAAAAAAAAAAAACTAAACCAAAGTAATTTATATTTTTTATTTTATAACATTTCAAATACAATTAGTTGTTGCAAAAGACAAAGAAAACGAAGAAAAGCAAAAATCACTAAAAAAAATACTATTTTATTTATATAATATGCAAAGAAGAAGAAGAAGAATTTGAGGATGAGAAGAAGAACCAATTACAGCGAGCTTTGCGCTTAGCTCATTAAGAGAACAACAAAAAAACAAGAACAGAGAAATGAAAATAATGAACGATCAATCGATTGCAAGCAAAAGTCATATATAAAGACCAAAAATACTGAAAATACCAAAAAAAAAACAAAAAACTAAAGACTAAAAACAAAATACGAAAAAGTAGTAAAGAAGTTGATGTTGGATTTTTGTTTGGTGTTTGTTCCAGGAAACGTCCGAATCGCCCCAACAACATGCTGTTGGCGTTGGCGCTGGCGCTGGCTTGGGCGGCGGCAGTAGCAGCAGCAGTGCCGCCGCCGCCGCAGCCGCAGCCGCCGCTGCTGGCGGGCATGAGCAACAGCCACACACCCCGCCACCACCGCCACTGCATATGTGCATATATTGCGGCATCACCTTTCCGAACCAAAAGAAACTCACGCGTCACGTGCTCTCGCACTCACTGAAAACGCTGGAGTTTCGCGAGCCGACCTCGCACGCGACCAACCTCCTGCACTCGCACATGCTGACCGCCCATGATATCGGCATGGGGGCGTTGGCCACCTTCCAAATGAATGCCGCCATGGCGGCGACCGCCAGTGGCTGTGATACACAAGAGCAGGTGGCCGCAGTTGCCGCCGCCTTTGGCCTCGAAATGGATATTGCGGCATTGGCCACAGCTGGGTGCAACTTTCAGAGTCTAACCGCCGCCTGTCTGGATGGTGGCGCGAGTGCGATGGCTGGCGGTGGTGCTGGTGGTCGCCTCGCCACCGCCACTTCTTCGGGAAATGGCGGCATTGGTGGCCCTTCGAGTCTGCTGCTTGGTGGCGGTGGTCCACCAGTTGGTGGTGGCGGCGGCGGCGGCAGCAGTGGTGGTGGCGGCGGTGGCGGCGCTGGTGGTGGCTCCTCGTCACCCTCAACGTCCGCCGCAGCATCGTCGGCAGCGGTGCCCTCCGGCTCGTCCGCCTCCTCGTCGTCGTTGCTCGGCGCGTCAAGTGATCCGAATAGTGTTGTCATGTGTAAGTTCTGTGCTAAAAGTTTTCCCGATGTTACATCACTGATCACGCATTTGTCGGTACATACAGGTGATCGACCATTTAAATGTGAGTTTTGTGGCAAAGCGTTTAAGTTGCGCCACCACATGAAAGATCATTGTCGCGTCCATACGGGTAAGTCTATCACCAAATGCCAATCACCATTTCTATACTAAGCTACTACTCATCTACATATACATATATATGCATTAACACCCCCATAACATACTACTAAGGTACGTGTTTTCGTACAGATAGCAACTACTTTGCTGATTTCCGATTTGAGGATATTTCCTTTGCCTGAAATGGCCACACAAATCCCATCAAGCGTGAGCAATTTTTACATCTGTCAATCTCTCCTAAAATAGCAGAGATTTTTATTTAGATCCTCAAGCCGAAATTATCCTTAAATTCATATTCATTGTATGGTTAGTCATCCAAATACTTTAGGTTTCGGCTTCACAAGTCGTTGAAGCTGAAATCAAGTCAATAAGACTATTTTCTTTACAAGAGAAATACTCAAAAAAAAAAGAACATATCTCTATTTTTCACATATATTTTTAAATTCATAAATACAAGTATATAGAAATATTTTAGGTTTCTGCTTCACAAGTCGTTGAAGCACAAATCAAGTCTATAAGACTATATTTTGTACGGAGGATATAATAAAAAAAAATAACATCTCTTTTGAGAGTATATTTTTCATATAACTCACGCAGAAATATTCTATATATAGTACTTGTATATATCTGTAGCTTACAAGTAGCCACCAAGTGTGTCAGCGAGAGAGATTTTAACTCAGTTTGCAAAACTGATTGATCTCAATTATTCATTTCCCATTGAAATAATTCACTAAAAGATCAAAATTACAAGGCGGCACAAAACACTTTCTTTTCGGTTTAAAGAAAATAGTAGAAATATTGGTCGGCTAAGCTGCAAAATTTTCTTGTGTTGAATTGAAAGTGAACGCTTAAATGTCTACCTCTACTGCGCTCTTTGAACTCTTAATCTAAGAATGAATTCAAGTTCAAATTAAAAATATCCTAAGACTAAGTCTATTTCTATTTGTGAAATTTTGAAATTATTTGATAGTCTATAGGCAATTACCATTACTTCATAACTATTCCATAAGTTCCGTCAATAGACAACTTCGATATCATCAAAGCAAATACTTTTCAAATAAACTTTGAGGATTAATTCCGGGCCTGTAACTATTTGTGCTGTGTTTTGTGTCTCGAACTCGTTGGCCTTCCCGCCCGCTATTTGGGGATTTATTTCACAGATTTCACCAACATTTCACACTCATTGCTTAAATATTATATCAACATATGTAGCATAAGTATATATTTATGTAAAAACCTATCACTTGAATGATGATTTATGTCTGATGTATTGAAATTCCTTTCCCTCTCCCCACACACACATACACACACGTGCGCGCACACACACTCACACACAAACACTGTGTGATTAACTCTATAGGCGAACGACCCTTCAGATGTCACATGTGCGGCAAAACTTTCTCGCGCTCGACAATTCTCAAGGCGCACGAGAAAACACATTTCCCCAAATATGTGCGAAAGTTTTTGTCACCCAGCCCGGTTGATACAAAGGACGAGCTACCGCAATAGTGAAACGATTTTAGTTTGTTATTAAATTATTATTATTACTACTATTACTACTACAATAATAATAACAATAATAATAACAACAACAACAACAACAACAACACCCACAACCACAACAACAACAACAACATCAGCGTTGCCAATTATGCACATAATTTCCACAATGTGCATCAAAATGATTATCAACTATAATTGATGAGCAACAGCGACAACAACAGCAACAACAACAACAACAACAACAACAGCAACAACAACAGCAGCAGCAACAACAACAGCAGCAGCAGCAGCGACAGCGATAGCGCAAAGCGAACTACAACAATAACAACAAATAAGAATAAGAAGAAGAGGAAGAAGAAGATGAAGAAGAATTTTGACTTACTTATAAGCGCATGGCTTACCAAAACTTATGAACACACAGAAACACAGACACAAAAACACAAACTACACACAACTTCAAAGTAATGCTACATATATATATATATACCGTTAATACATACATATATGTATATACATATGTACATATTTTATTACCTAAATAACGAGGCAAACATATAAATGCAAGAATTATTAATTTTTTTTTTTTAAATGAATTTAGTGTAGGTCTGTCGTCGCATGCGTAGAAAAGAGACAACTACACATCTACACACATGCACACCCACACACACACACACACACAGACAAACAAAATATATAAAGAAGAAGCAGAATTGTTAGATTTTTACCAAGAAGCGAATTTTTCAATACCCACACAATTATTTGCCTCTTCTGTCTATACATTAATAATTATATACAAACAAAGAAACAAAAAAAAAAGAGAGAAAAAAGAGAATATTTTTAATTTTAATTTAGAAACAGGCTAAAAAGAAGAATGAAAAACAAAAAGAGAAACAGAAACAGAAAAACAACCAAGCAACAAGTTTTAAGCGTCTATAATCTTTGTGAGAGCTGATAGGAAAGATCGAGCAAGTTAAAGAGTATGTATATTAGCGTGAAGATTTTTTTTTCTATACCATACTTAGTGAACAGTGCAGCGTGAGAGTTGTAGCAGGAATCTAATTAAATTTATATATATACGATATATATATATATATATATATATATATATATATATATATATATATATATATATATAAATACAGAGGGTATATAAGAGAACGTAAGACATATAGGAAACAAAAATGAAAACAAAACAAACAAAAAAAAAACACACTTACACACACACACAGAAAACCGAAACTAAAAAATTTACTAAACCCATATATGGCTACGATAGTAATGATAATGCAAATGATTATGATAACGATAATGAAAAGAACAGTGAACACGTGATGTAACTTTTTAAGTAAAATGCTAAACATGATGATTACGATATAATAATGATAATGAAAATGAGGCAAAGATGACGATGATGATGATGAGGATGATGACGACGATGACGATAACAATGACGATGACGTTGACGTTGACATTGATGTTAATAATATATTTAAAATATAGCTTTTAGTAACTACTAAAGAGGTTTAACAACAACAACAACAACATATTAGGCAACCAGCAAGTAGCAGAGAAAGAGGAAGAGGAAGTAGCAAAGCAAAGTAGCAAAGTAAAAGTCGTGTAAAACACTTCGAAATTGCAATTTGGACATTTGGGCCAAAAGTTCACCACAAAGCAGGCGAAATATGAAGAGAAGCAAACAAATTGTAGCATACTTTCGGGCGCCCTTTATTTTTCCTCCTGCAAAGCGAACGTGTTCCAACAACACACACAACATACATATCTACATAGACACACACACACACACACACACACACACTCAAACACAAACACAAGCTCAAAATTGGTCAGGGTGGAGCAACAGCCCCAAACCAGCACCACACTAAAGATTCTTTAGATAATGGGGACAGACCATGTGCTGACGAACATCTTCTTTAAATATCGCTGGCGCTCTGAAGAATTCACACGTACATATATCTAGGTACACATAAATAAACATACATATATATACATACACGCAAAACGTAACTAATTTTTAGCCACATACTATATACAACTTATTATACAGTACACACAAACATACATATATGTATATCTATATACAATATTTATATATACATATATAGTATATAAAAAGCAACCAACTTAACTTGTATAGGACAAACAAGAAGAAGAAGCATAAAATGTGAAAACTAAAACAACAGCAAATAAAGGGAAGAAGCAAGTAATTATTAAAATTAAATACAGACATACGCGTGAATTATGCAAAGCAGCAGAATTACATAGAATATCTGTGATCTTAACGATATTTATATAAATATATATATACATAAAAGGAAAGCAACAAAAAAAAAACAACAAAAAACCAAAAAACTATATATGAGCAGATGAGAATTAGAAATTAGCTGCAACCTAAAATGACAACAACAACAAAAAAACAAAAGGGAAAATTATTAAAACTAAAAATCAACCTCTACACAAACAGCTTTTATTAAACAAGCTAATAACTTGCATAATATTTTTTTTTAAACTATATTTCTGCAGAGAGAAGACAATTATGCAAAGGCACCATCATTTTTTCTCTTTCAAGGTCGTGCTCTCAACCGTAGCAAATCAAATACCTCCATATACCACATCTGTCGAAACAATGTTATTTCATTTGATTAGCTCTAATCTGCAGCCTTCGTAGCTACTATTTAAACGAATACGAATTCCCCGCCTCAAGTTTCCTCTCATTTTCAAGTTCAATTTTCTTTTTTTTAGCTTTAAATTGCCTTCCTGCTTTTTGCAAACTAGTGTCAATTCAAAACCCAGCGCTTTTTTATTTGTAGTTTTCTATTTTTCCAAATTATATGTAGAAAAAGAGATTAAATGTAGTTTGAAAACAATATTCCATTTCACTTCACCCAGCCGTTTGGCAAGCCAGTCAGTTTCGTAGCAGGCAGTCTTTGTGAAGCTAGCTATGACGGAATGTCTATAATGAGTGTCATAGCGTGCAGTCGTTGCCCGTGAATGGATGTGCTTCTTATGTGGAGAAAACTATTTAGTTGCAATTTCTATGGTTGAGTAGGCCAGGGCCAGTAATTGCTGTTTAAGTCTTTTGTTTGCGCAATTTAAGTTGGCGATCTCTAAGATCTCCCCCCTCTATACCCGAATCTTTCCCAATCAACACTATCCGCGTTCGCTTTGCATTTTTTTGTCCGGCCCCAAACAACTTCAACAAGTGTTTTACGCTTCTTTACTTTACTTGTGTATTCTAATATGTACTTTGCTTTCAACAACAACAACAGCCCACAAACAGTTGAGAAGTTTTTCTTCTTTTTTATATTTTTTTGTTCATCTTACACAATACCAATAACAATTAGGGCTATTAGAAAGGAATGAAGAAGAAAGGACAAATGGCCACGGCAGGCTTACTACTTTGGCTACATTTTTGCAGAAGATGTAAACGAGAAATTGAAATGTGCTAGTTTTTAAGCAAATTTTGTGTTATTATCGCAATGTGAGATATAAATCTTTTTCTTTTTTTCTCTCTCAGTGTAGTCGAAATTTCTTTTAAATGCAACGCCCTCTTCTCGCTGGCAGGCAATTTCCTAAGAGAGTTCAGCTTTTCCTTTAAATTTCATTGAAGTTTTGGCCGAGTCTCGCGTGCAATTGGGGAAATGCCTCTGTGTATAAAAGAAAACGCAAATCGATCTCAAAATTATAAAAATAAAAACTAATTATCTTATATATGTATAAATGAAAGTGCAGCCACAAAGTTGCTGGGAGGCTCGGACCGAACGAAAATTGTTAGAAATACCAAAAAAAGAAAAAAACAAAACAAAAAAGCAAAACAATAAGACGCGTGAGGAAGTCGTGCGCATTTCTTTTCGGAGAAGCAACAACAGTAGCAGCAGCAGCAACAAAATTTTATAAACAAACGCTAGACAAAATTCAAAATTCTAAATTTTAAAATAAACATAACGAAAAAACCAAGGATGATGGGGGGAGGGAGCAAAACTTTTTGGCAGAAATATAAAAACCAAAAACGAAACAACAACAAAAAAAATTGAAAATGTTTAGGAAACAAACAACAAAAACTTTGGATTAAACAATTTGGCTGTGATAGCATTAAAGGAAAAACCATTAATAGTAATTAATAATTACAATTAATTAATTAAAGAAACAAACAAAAGAACTTAGCAAGCATTGTGCGGCGCCATTACATTTTGTTGTTGGCTTATTTTTAGGGTGCGCAGTATTAAAGCAACTTGACTTAAAACAAAAACAAAAAAACAAAAACGAAACAAAAAATATGATACCAGGCATCAATTCGATATTGTGATGTAAAAAATGTTGCAAAACTTTTGCAATTTTGCACAAACCTATAAACATTATCAATTAACGCATAATATTATATAATTAATAAATGGAAATGCAACAAAATTTAACATTTAGGAACAAAAACCAAAATTGTGATTTTCGGCCTTTTAGAAACAAAATTATAAACAATTAATAATAATAAATAATTAACTATATAAACCCAACCAAAAACGAAAACAAACAAAAACATTGCAAACACAAGTTGCAAGCATTTCTCAACAAAAACAAAACACAAAAAAATGAAAAACCAAAACGAAATGGAAATGCAATTCTTTAGCTTTGTCAATTTTTGTTCTTCTTTTACCTGCGCCTCGATTGGCTGGGCAAAGAATGATTTTATGTAGAAAGAGGGAATTTATTTCATCCATATAGAGAGGTGGGTGCTTCACTCCTTAAGAGATGCGCAGGGCCGCGGACGCACGAAAACATTCCAAGACAGATAGAAAAGAAATGTGAAAAGCTGAAAATGCTGAAAAAACTGCAGCGAACTGCAGAAGAATGCGAGCAGCAAGCTTTTGTCTTGCTGTCAATGACTATAGTGCTCGCAACAGTCAGATTTCGTCTGCAGCACAATATTTTAGTTGGTTGCTCGCTACAGGAGCGAGGGTGTAGGCAAGGGGGCGTGGCAAGCGGCAAATTTCGACTACACACATCATCATTATATTTGTTTGCACTGAAAAAGCAAAAGGTTTTATGCTCTGTGTCTCTATAAATAAACAGCAAATAAATTACAATTTATTAATATTATAATTACTATTGATTTTTTTTCTTAACTCTAATTTTAAACGTAAGCCAATGTTATTATTATTATTATAGTTATTACCTACTATTATTGTATCAATCAACTTATATGAAATTTATTTAGCTTTAGCAACCGAATATTTAAATACGGCAACCATTTATAGTTTCTTTCTCGTCTCTTCATTTTTTTTTTTTTTTTTTTGTTCAGTTATGTTAAAACATCAACAACAACCACAACAAACGATTATGTTAATTATTTTTAAAGAACGTATCTGTTTGTCTGCGCTTCGCAACACTGAAATACCAACACATGTACACACAATGAATTTGTAAGCTATATGAAAAAAACCACACACACATACGCAAACAAAAAATTAGATAAACAGAGAAAAAGTTTTACTTAAACAACTACTAAATGCATTAGACCTCGACAACAACAACAGCAAGATTATTATTGTGCAAAAAACGAGAAAAGCAAATAAACAACAACAAAGAAAAAAAAACAGTTGAAGAGAAAACAAATATATGAAGAAAAAAAAACGTTCGTTTTTGGGTTTTTCTTTCCATCATGATTTGCCTCATTTTTTACATATCATTAAAATTCATTGTGTAACACTGTCGCCAATCGCACGCTCCATTAATACGAATTACTTGTATGTCTTACATTTATAAGTTCCTCTTATCATTTTATACATATACACATACATACTTATAAATATATATATTTTTAGTGCTTGTGTTTTAAGTTTAGGGCCTAAGTTCAAATCGGTTTGTGTAGCCTTTAAGTTGTGATCAAAAGTTCCTTACTTTGGTTCCCCATCAGCCTCACCGCACAGTGGGCGTGACATATTCAAATATTTGTTTGTTTGTTTATTTGTTTTTTATTTTTTTTTTATTTTTCTTTATTATTCAAAACGCCATTTTTAATTTTTAACAAGTT